GTTTAGTAACACTTTAACATGTATGTGAAGGCAAAATAACAAACAAAAAAAAACCATATGCAGTACATCTCTGCGATACATGTACATTTCTCAATATTTCATCTTTTAAAAGACCCTGCAAGCACAGAAAGATACCTGTTGATCAGCAAGACATTCACTCAGCTCTTGTTGTTTGTAGACAATATATGGCTTTTGGTGGACTAAGTGGTGCTCTGCCCATTGCCTTTTGCTAAAATAGTCAAACTTTGCCCCTACCCTATTATCCACAACATAGATGCTAATTATTCTGTAGTCCAGGATAACAACTAGGAGGGCTAATTAGACTACTTAAAGCAGAGCTATACTTATCTTCACTCCGTCAATGCAATGTTGGAGAGCTCCCAGATGGCTCCTGACATCTTCTGGCGATCAGCTTCCTGTTATGGATTAGCTGAGCTCAGATGATGTGCGTGGGAGTTCATTCATCTCGGCATTGCTAGAATTTTACAATGAGCTGCATGTGCATAGTTCAATGATGGGGGCAGACAAGCAGGTAAGTAACTTTTAATGCAGAAGACACATAGTATGTCTCTTCTGTATTCAAAATCCTGCTTGTTTTGTGACTTTATTTGTGTGTGCTAAACAGCTTTGAATTTCTGACATGATCAATATTTATTATTTTCACCAATTGAAAGGATAAAACAAAATGCTTTTAATGATATACAGTGCATCCAGAAAGTATTCACAGGGCTTAACTTTCGACACATTTTGTTATGTTACAGCCTTATTCCAAAATGGATTAAATTCATTTTTTTTCTCAACATTCTGCAAACAATACCCCATAATGACAATGTGAAAGAAGTTCTTTTGAAATCTTTGCAATTTATTAAAAATAAAAACAAAAAAACCACATGTACATAAGTATTCACAGCCTTTGCCATAACACTCAAAAGTGAGCTCTGGTGCATCCTTTTCCCACTGATCATCCTTGAGATGTTTCCACAACTTGATTGGAGTCCACCTGTGGGAAATTCAGTTGATTGGACATGATTAGGAAAGGCATAAACATGTCTATATAAGGTCCCACAGTTAACAGTGCGTGTCAGAGCACAAACCAAGCCATGACATCCAAGGAATTGTCCGTAGACCTCCGAGACAGGATTGTATCAAGACACAAATCTCAGGAAGGGTACAGAAAAATTTTGACAGCAGAAGGTCCTATGAGCACAGTGGCCTCCATCATCCATAAATGGAAGAAGTTTGGAACCACCAGGAATCTTCTTAGAGCGGGCCGCCCGGCCAAATTGAGTGATCAAGGGAGAAGGGCCTTAGCCAGGGAGGTAACCAAGCACCCAATGGTCTCTCTGAAAGAGCTCCAGCGTTTCTCTGTGGAGAGAGGAGAACCTTCCAGAAGAACAACCATCTCTTCAGCACTCCACCAATCAGGCCTGTATGGTAGAGTGACCAGATGGAAACCACTCCTCAGTAAAAGGCAAATGGCAGCTCACCTGGAGTTTTCCAAAAGGCACCTGAGGGACTCTCAGACCATGAGAAACAAACTCTCTTTTCTGATGAAACAAAGATTGAACTCTTTGGCTTGAATGCCAAGTGTCATGTCTGGAGGAAACCAGGCACCACTCACCACCTGGCCAATACCATCCCTACAGTGAAGCATGGTGGTGGCAGCATCATGCTGTGGGGATTTTTTTTAGTGACAGGAGCTGGGAGACTAGTCAAGATTAAATGAAAGATGAATGCAGCAACGTAACAGACATCCTGAAAACCTGTTCCAGAGTGCTCTGGACCTTAAACTGGGGCGACAATTCATCTTTCAACAGGACAACGACCCTAAACACACATCCTACATAACAAAGTAGTGGCTACAGGCCAGCTCTGTTAATGTCCTGTAGTGGCCAAGCAGAGCCCAGACTTGAACCCGATTGAACATCTCTGGAGAGATCTGAAAATGGCTTTGCACCGATGCTCCCCATCCAACCTGATGGAGCTTGAGAGGTACTGTAAAGAAGAATGGGAGAAACTGCCCAAAAATAGGTGTGCCAAGTTTGTAGCATCATACTCAAAACTACTTGAGGCTGTAATTGGTGCCAAAGATGCTTCAACAAAGTATTGATCAAAGGCTGTGAATACTTATGTACATGTGTTTTTTTTTTTCGTTTTTTATTTTTAATAAATTGCGAAGATTTCCAAACAAACTTCTTTCATGTTGTCATTATGGGGTATTGATTGTAGAATGTTGAGGAAAAAAAATAATTTAATCCATTTTGGAATAAGGCTGTAACATAACAAAACGTGGCAAAAGTTAAACACTGTGAATACTTTCTGGATGCACTGTATTCAACAACCAAAAAGGATCAAATGAGAAATTCATTGTTAGGGTTTGCATACACTTTAAAAAAACTGCCTTGGTTTTATACCCTACTCCATCCAAAAACCCCCAAAAAAAAAAAAAGAAAGTCTTGGCTTTAGATACACTTTAAGAACTAGATTTCCTACATACCTAAATAGTGTTAACTTGTGCTCTTCTTTTAGTTATAGCTTTTATACATTTTGATAGTGTTCTACAAACTTGCACTGTATACATTGTTGTCTACCCTTCCATTATACCATTATAGTGTTGTCTTTGTTTTTTATCCACAGAGATGGTAACTATTAACGGAGAGGGTTTGTGTTCCTTTATCTTCGCAACCATTTGCGTCAATGTACTTTTATTTTTACGGTTAGTGTTTATTTCATACTTCACAGAATTATGCCTCATTAAAATGTCTGTAATGTCTTGTAGGTAGGTAGACAAGATTATCACTGCACACATTCACAGACAAAATAGATTTTGGTATCCATAGTTTTCCTCAGTCTGTTCTAATAGAAGGGCTTGTTCACTTATTGTATAAGATCTTCAAAACACTTGCTTCAGCACTTGATACATTCTCGGTTGACATTTCCCTATTCCTGCTCTGTGCAACTTCCATAAGCTCCCAACTTACTATCCTAGGCCTTCCAGCTTTTCTAAAACTTCCTCAAGGTTTCTCCAAACTCAGTAATAATCATTATCACCCTTATCGAATCTATCATCCTTCCACCTATTTATTAGGTAAAATGTCTGTAACACGCACTTCTGCTTAAACATTCCCAAACACTTACAATTCTGCCATCTAGGGTTGCTGATGAGGGGTACAAGCAGTCCTACTGTACCAGACCCAGGCCTCATCAGGTCAGCAGGGGGCCCTGGGCCTGGCAGAGGCTGCTTGCATGAATAGGACTTCCAAAATTCTTGACAAATGTTCTGCAGGTTTATACACTGCTCAAACAAATTAAAGGAACACTTTTAAAACACATCAGATCTCAATGGGGAAAAAAATATAATTCTGGATATCTATACTGATATGGACTGGGTAATGTGTTAGGAATGTAAGGATGCCACATCGTTTGATAGGAATTAAAATTATCAATCTACAGAGGACTGAATTCAAAGACACCCCGAAAATCAAAGTGAAAAAATGATGCAGCAGGCTAGTCCATTTTTCTGAAATTTCATTGCAGCAACTCAAAATGGTACTCAGTGCCCCCACGTGCTTGTATGCATGCCTGACAACATCGGGGAATGCTTCTAATGAGATGACGGATGGTGTCCTGAGGTATTTCCTCCCATATATGGCCCAGAGCATCACTGAGCTCCTGGACAGTCTGAGGTGCAAGTTGGCTGCTTCAGATGGACCGAAACATGATATACCAGATTGGATTTAGGTCAGGCGAGCGTAGGGACCATTCAATTGTATCAGTATCTTCATCCTCCAGGAACTGCTTACATACTCTCGCCACATGAGGCCAAGCATTGTCGTGCACCAGGAGGAACGCAGAACCCACTGCACCAGCGTAGGGTCTGACAATAGGTCCAAGGATTTCATCCCGATACCTTATGGCTGTCAGGGGCTATTGTCTAGCCTGTAGAGGTCTGTGCATCCCTCCATGGATATGCCTCCCCAGACCAGCACTGACCCACCACCAAAACTGTCATGCTGAACGATTTTACAGGCAGCATAACATTCTCCATGGCTTCTCCAGACCCTTTCACCTCTGTCACATGTACTCTGTGTGAACCTGCTCTCATCTGCGAAAAGCACAGGGCGCCAGTGACAGACTGCCAATTCTGGTGTTCGACGGCAAATGCCAATTGAGCACTATGGTACCCAGCAGTGAGCACAGGGCCCACTAGAGGACGTCAGGCCCTCAAACCACCCTCATAAAGTCTGTTTATGATTGTTTGGTCAGAGGACATTCACACCAGTGGCCTGCTGGAGATCATTTTGTAGGGCTCTGGCAGTGCTCATCCTGTTCCTCCTTGCACAAAGGAGCAGATACTGGTCCTGCTGATGGGTTAAGGACCTTCTATGGCCCTGTCCAGTTCTCCTAGAGTAACTGCCTGTCTCATGGAATCTCCTCCATGCTCTTAAGACTGTGCTGGAAGACACAGGAAACCTCCTGGCAATGGCACGTATTGATGTGCCATTCTGGAGGTGTTGGACTATAGGGTCCAGGTATCACCTCATGTTACCAGTAGTGACACTGACCCTAGTCAAATGCAAAACTAGTGAAAAACAGTCAGAAAAGATGAGTAGGGAAAAAAATGTCAGTGGCCTCCACCTGTAAAACCATTCCTGTTTTGGGGGTCGTCTCATTGTTGCCCATCTATTGCACCTCTTGTTAATGTCATTAACACCAAAGCAGCTGAAACTGATTAACAACGCCCTCTGCTACTTAACTGAGATCAATATCCAAGGAGTTTAATTGACTTGATGCTATACTTTGATTAAAAAATGTTTCTTTAATTTTTTTCCAGCAGTGTATTTCCAGCCCAGGACACAGCCACATCTAGACCCAAGAAGCTGTGTTGTCTGTACTATGAAGAGATGATCTGCACAGCTAAGAGTAACACCTTGGTTGTGTATGGTAATCTACTGAAGAAACAGCCCATACCTAAGGTGTATCTATGCTGGAAGTACGGACATACACTATATTGCCAAAAGTATTTGGACACCCCTCAAAATCATTGGATACAGGTGTTCCACTCACCTTCATGGCCACAGGTGTATAATATCAAGCACTTAGGCATGCAGACTGCTTCTACAAAGATTTGTGAAAGATTGGGTCACTATCAGGAGCTCAGTGAATTCAAGCATGGTACCTTGATAGGTTGCCACCTGTGAAATTAGTCCATCCATGAAATTACCTTGCTACTAAATATTCCACAGTCAACTGTTAGTGGTATTATAACAAAGTGGAAGGAACTGGGAACAACAACAACTCAGGTCACGTAAAATGATAGAGGAGGGTCAGCGCATGCTGAAGCGCATAGTGCGCAGAAGTCACCAACTGCAGAGTCAATAGCTAAATACCTCCAAACTTCATGTGGCCTTTAGATTAGCACAACAACAGTGTGTAGAGAGCTTCATGGAATGGGTTTCCATGACCGAGCAGCTGCATCCAAGCTTTACATCACCAAGTGCAATGCAAAGTGTCGGATGCAGTGGCGTAAAGCACTCCGCCATTGGACTCTAGAGCAGTGGAAACATGTTCTCTGGAGTGACAAATCACACTCCTCTGTCTGGAAATCCAATGGACATGCCTTGGTTTGGTGGTTGCCAGGAGAATGGTACTTGCCTGACTGCATTGTGCCAAGTGTAAAGTTTGGTGGAGGGGGAATTATAGTGTGGGGTTGTTTCTCAGGGGTTGGGCTTGGCCCCTTAGTTCCATTGAAGGGTACTTGCCTGACTGCATTGTGCCAATGTGTAAAGTTTGGTGGAGGGGGAATTATAACTCTGAGGAACTCTTAAGGCATCAGCATACCAAGACATTTTGGACAATTTCATGCTCCCAACTTTGTAGGAACAGTTTGGGGATGGCCCCTTCCTCTTTAAACATGAACGCGCACCAGTGCATAAAGCAAGGTCCTTAGAGACATGAATGAGTGAGTTTGGGGTGGAGGAACTTGACCGGCCTGCACCTCAACCCATTAGAACACCTTTGGGATGAACAGAGTCCTGACCTCACAAATGCACTTCTGGAAGAATGGTCAAACATCCCATAGACACACTCCTAAACCTTGTGGACAGCCTTCACAGAAGCTGTTATAGCTGCAAAGAGTGGTCCAACTCAATATTGAACCCTATGGACTAAGACTGGGATGCCATTAAATTTCATGTGTGTGTAAAGGCAGACATTCCAATACTTTTGCAATATAGGTGTCCGTTTATGAACCAGCGGTAATAGATCGCTGCTCAGTTCTCCAGCATTCTCGGAGAACACAGTTCTCCTGTGAATGCAGTTTATGAAGCAGTTCTCCGAACGAAGGGAGAACGATCTCCAAACGCTGGAGAACGGTCTACAAACTCTGGAAAACGGCTGATTTTACTATAATCTCGCGAGATTACAGTAAAAGATCAGTTTACTAAGCAGAGGTAAATTATCTCTGCTTAGTTTTCGGTCCCTCCGATTCTCCAGCTCTGGGCTGGAGAATCTGGAGGGAGAACACAGATCTCCAGAGAAGGGCTGAACATATTCTCCTGGGTGTTATAAACTGTGAATGACCAGAGAATAGCTGTGATCCTCTGAATCTCAGCTATTCTGTGTGTCATAAACGGACACCATAGTGTAAGTTCGGTCCATTTCATAAGCAAACTTTGTATATCCCATTTCAGAGGGTATGTAGGATTTGGATGTTAGCCCTCTGGACGGACTGCTGGGCTGGGTGCACAGTGGCAACTAGGGCAGCTTCTGTACTTTAAGTAGCCTTTTGCCTTGGATGAGGAAACACCAGGAATTAGGAAAGGAGTGCTTAAAGTTTATGGAGAAAGACTAAGTGGGTTTAAGTGTATGGTTGGGGGGCTCAGTCAGTTAGGCTTTATGAGGCCCTATAGTTTCTTACAGTGACCCTACTGGCATCCATAAGTGAATAGAACACATTCATCTGTTCACCCTGAAGTGTCACTTCTTATTAACCCCATGTCACATATTCAAGCTCCTTATTTTGTGCTCCACTTTTCACCTTTCATCTTTTATCTAACCTCATCTTCACTACTCCTAACTAACCTCTGCTCTCAACTGCTCCTCTCCAACTTTTGCAGGCTAATACTTCCACTGCAGGCTGTCTCTGTTGTCCATGTTTTACTTCCTCCATGAACTGCTATCTTCTACCTTGGACTGTCTTCAACCCATTATAATTTTTTTTTTCCACTCTGCTTCTTTAATCCCCTCATTCTTGACTACCTATTTACAATGCTAACTAGACCAAAGCAATGTCATTATGACTTTTGCAATTTATATAGGTCTTATTTATGGATGTGCAAAGTGGGTTGAGTGAAACTGAAACTGATTAGATGCTTGACTTGAACACAGGCTTTCTTCACCTTACTTTAATATTTCAGGCATATTGGCTTACAGCCTAAAAATTTGGATACTCTAATAAAATGCACCTTTCCTATACTTCACTTAGGGGGGGATTTACTAAAGCTGGTGCAGTCAGAATCTGCCTTGTTCAATTAAGCTTTGGCAGCAAAACTTGGAAGCTGATTGGTTTCTATGCAGAGTTGCACCAGATTTTGCACTCTCCAGTTTTAGTAAATCACCAACTAAGTCTTTTTTATCCCACTGCCTCTCTTTCACAAAAAAAGCCTTTACTGCCTCTGGGGTGATATGATATGATACAATGTGCAGCACAATGTCTTGAGGGTTAGAACTCCTACCTTGCAGCACTAGGGTTCTTTGGTTTGACTCCCAACCAAGATGCTTCCAAATGAAGTTTCCATGTTTTCCCTGTGCTTGAGTGGATTTTCTCTCACATTCCAAAGACATTCTGGCTTGATCATTTGATCCTATCTAAGTTGGCCCTAGTACAGTGGCATCCCGAGGCAGGTGCAGGGGGTGTGGTCCGCACCGGGTGACACCAACTGCACGGGGTGACACCAGACCCACTCCACGAAAAGGTAAGTTGTAAAGCAAGCAGACGATCCCCACAGGATGGATCCAATCCAACCTGCGGGGATTGTCGGCTTTCTTTACAACTTACCTTTTCGTAGAGCGGGTCCGGTGTCACCCCATCAGGGGCAGACTGACCATACAGGCACTCGGGCACTGCCCAAGGGCCTGGGCCAGTAGGGGGCCCCATGAGGGGCTCTGTCACTGCCCCTCTACTTGTTGCTGAGCATTAGTCATACAGCGGTCTCTGTACAGGGTGCTCTCCTCAGCAGCTTCCTTTAAGTCCCCATAGATTAGTGACATGAAGGTCCCCACACACACACAGATCCCCTAACCTGAGGACAGAACAGAGACAGCCGAGACCAGACAGCACAGAGAGCCTGTGTCCAGCCACAGAACAGGGAACACCCCCTCTGGGAAAGCCGTGCATGGCAAGCCCCACCCCTCCTCTGCAGCACGGCCACCAGGATCACTCACTGCTCTGACTCTGCAGCCCTGCTGTGAAAGTTGCTATGAAGGTGGCAGATTTAACACAGCAGCTCTAGATCCTGCCTGAGACTAGGTGAGAGCAATCTGGGGTCATAGTTGTGAGCAGCAGACATACTGAACATCCCCCTCACCCCCCCCTCTCTCTCTCACCTCTGTCCCTCTCTCTCACCCTACCACACCCCCCTCCTCTCTCTCTTGCCCTCCCCTCGCTCTCACCCCCCTCACTCTATCTTTCACCCCCCCTCTATCTCTCTCTCTCATCCTCCCCTCTCTCTTTCACCCCCTTCTTTCTCTTGTATCCCCTTCTCTCTTGCCCGTCTCTTTCTCACCCACACCATTCTTCTCCCACTCCCCTATCTCTTTCTCATCCCCCTCTCTCTTTCCCCTATCTCTCTCTCTCTCACCTTTCTCATCCCCCTCTCTTTCACTCCCCCCCTCACCTCCTCTCTCTCCCCCCCCCCCCCCCTCACCTCCTCTCTCTCTTACCCCCCCTCTCTTTCACATCCCCTCTCTCTCACCCCCACCATTCCTCTCTCTCTTGCCCCACTCTCTCTGACTCCCCTCTCTCTTACACCCTCCTTACTGTCTCTTGCCCCCCTCTCTCCTCCTCTCTCTCTCTTACCCCCCTCTCTCTCACACCCCCTCTCTTTCCCCCCTCTCTCTCATCCTCCTCTTTTTCTCCTCTCTTTCCCCCTCTCTCTCTTCCCCCTTCTCTCTCGCCTCCCCTCTCTCTCAGCTTCTCTTTCTCTCTCAACCCCCTCTCTCTATCATCCCCCTTCTCTCTCTCATCCCCCTCTCACACCTGTCACCCCTCCTCTCTCTCACCCCCCTCTCTCTTCCTTACCCCTCTCCCTCCCTCTCTCTCATTAATTCTCTCTTTCTCTCCCCCCTCTCCATCTTACCCCCTCACCCCCTCTCTCTTTCTCACCCCCTCACCCCCTCTTTCTTTCTCATCAACTCTTTCTCTTTCAACTCCTCTCCATCTTACCCCCTTAACCCCACTCTCTCTCTCACACACCCCTCTATCACCTCCCACTTTATCTCCCCCCCCCCCCTTCTTCTGTCCCTCCCCTTTCTCCATCTCTCTCCTACTTTTCCATCTCCCCATCCCTGTCTCTCTCCCTCCCTCCTATTCCTATCTCTCCTCCCCCTCCCCCCTCTTTTCTTCTGTCTCTATCCTTCCACCCCACTCTTCACCTTTTTAATATGTAACAGGAAATTATGTCATAATTCAGAATCTCAGTAAAAAATGCACTCTGTCAGTAAAGTTTCCATGTTAAAAAAAAAGTTGTGGAGAAGTTGGCTACCCTATCAGGAAGGAGCTGAGTGGGTGCTGAATGCCCAAACAAAGCAATTAAAATGACTGCAACGGCAGCTGCGTGCACCACACTTTTTAAAACTAGTATCAGGGCCCAAGTTTTGATCTTGTACACAGGCCCACTGGTTTCATAAAACTCCCCTGGTTGCACCAGAAAGATATCTGCTGCACGTTGTCCATCTTTAAACCTGAAAGTGCCCATTGGCTTCTACAGAAGGAAGCCAGGAACTTCCATGCAGGCTATGCTGCAGTGGATATTTAAATGCCCCGTCTATGCAACAGAGTTATAATAACCAAATGATCAGGCTCACAGAGATTCCTGAAGGCATGGTTGGGAAGCCTACAGGCACCTGACAGTTATCAGATGGCCACCACCTTTGAACCTGTCATGTCTTTGGTGGCTTCCCAGCAATGGCAAGGGGAATCTCTGTGAGCCTAAGCTGCAGACAAGAATTGGGCATTGGCTCATTCCTGAGCATGAAGGTGCAACAGCTTCTGCAGTTTGCTGATGGCCCCTTCTGTGCAGCTGGGATGCAATACTCTTGTACCATATTGTATTGTAACTGTAATGTCTACCTTCATTTTCTAAAGCACTGTGCAAACTGTTGGCGCTATATAAATCCTGTATAATAATAATAATGTGGAGGATGGCTGCCACAAATGCATGTAATGTAGGCAGTGCAATATGTAGGTGGAGCTTTGTGTAGGTGTGGCTTGAGTGTGGGTGGGGAAACATGGGGCCCCATGATCTTCTATTGCTCGGGGGCCCAATGAGTTGTCAGTCCGTCCCTGCACCCCGTACAGGGTGCATGCCGGCGATCCCCGCAGGATAGATGGGATCTGTGGATTGAGGAGCATAATGGATCGTACTACCATCCATTATGCTCCCCAATCCACAGATCTG